CATGTTCAAGAAACCAATTTGAAATGATTCAAGATTTGTGACATGGTGCATTATCCTGCTGGAAGTAGCCATCAGAGGATGGGGACATGGTGGCCATAAAGGGATGGACATGGTCAGAAACAATGCTCAGGTAGGCCGTGGCGTTTAAACGATGCCCAATTGGCACTAAAGTGTGCCAAGAAAACATCCCCCACACCATTACACCACCACCACCAGCTGCACAGTGGTAACAAGGCATGATGGATCCATGTCCTCATTCTGTTTACGCCAAATTCTGACTCTACCATCTGAATGTCTCAACAGAAATCGAGACTCATCAGACCAGGCAACATTTTTCCAGTCTTCAACTGTCCAATTTTGGTGAGCTCTTGCAAATTGTCGCCTCTTTTTCCTATTTGTGGTGGAGACGAGTGGTACCCGGTGGGGTCTTCTGCTGTTGTAGCCCATCCGCCTCAAGGTTGTGAGTGTTGTGTCTTCTTCAAAAATGCTTTGCTGCATACCTCGGTTGTAACGAGTGGTTATTTCAGTCAAAGTTGCTCTTCTATCAGCTTGAATCAGTCGGCCCATTCTCCTTTGACCTCTCGCATCAACAAGGCATTTTCGCCCACAGGACTGCCGCATACTGGATGTTTTTCCCTTTTCACATCATTCTTTGTAAACCCTAGAAATGGTTGTGCGTGAAAATCCCAGTAACTGAGCAGATTGTGAAATACTCAGACACCAACAACCATGCTACGCTCAAAATTGCTTAAATCACCTTTCTTTCCCATTCTGACATTCAGTTTGGATTTCAGGAGATTGTCTTGACCAGGACCACACCCCTAAATGCATTGAACTTAGATAATTGCATTAATGAGAAATTGAACAGGTCTTCCTAATAATCCTTTAGGTGAGTGTATATTGTGAAAAGCGCTACATAAATATACTTGACTTGACCATATTTTGATTACCAAAAAAGTTTACTCAAAGATGCCTTATTAATTTCAATACATTTTAAGTAGGCTATGATAGGCTTCTCAGAGGTTACTCAACATGTTTTATTATGACAGGTTTCAAAAATAATGAATAAAATAATGTCTCTTCTAAAAATAAATATATAAATAATACATAACAAAAAGAAATACCTCCAAATTGAACAAAAATAGCTCTGACAAACTTACAAAAATGAACTAACAAAATATCTTTAGTTTTCATCCTCTTTATCCTGTTTTCCTTCCTTATCCTCCTTGTTTGTCCATCTATATTTTGCTGTAGAGCTGATCTTTCCCAGCAGTTTTTTGAAAACCAGGACATTTTCATCATTTCATAGAAAAACAGCCAGGATAGGACGTGAAAACAGGACATGACCTGGGAAAACAGGAGTGTTGGTCACCCTAATTGTATGCCAACTTGAATGGCAACAGAATGGCAAAAATTAAAACTGTTAGAAATAAATAAATAAATAAACCATGTCATTGGTTGAGCTGTTGCTATGCAAGGGCTGGTCAGGATTCTCAAACAAGCAGAATAAACGTCAGTGTTAATACTATTCAGAGGACTCTGAGACCCTAGAAATAATTTACAATGTGCTAAAACAGCCACAGAGCTCTGCCGTTTTTCTAAGGTTTTTTTAAGACAAAAAAAAAAAAATCCTGTTCTCGGAATTCTGTTAATATTGGTGTGGTTATGCCTGGCAGAAAGGATAATTATAGAGATGTTTGTTCTTTGTTTACTTGTGTTCCAAATATCTTTGCGCCCTTTTTTTTTGTGGTGGTTAACATCACAGTAATAAACGAGACGTTATGAATGTAGTGTGCTATAAAAGAAAGACGTTATACCACATCATTATTATGTGGTATAATGACACAACTTTTGGCTGAAAATAAAAGATAACGATTTTTATTTTTGTAATATAAACTATGTTTGTCTTACGTGAAGTCAAAAACACAACTGTAATGTGAATGATTTAATAATTTTCTTCTTTTTTTAAGAAGTGCAGCAGACCCACTGTTAGGTCTTTACAATGATAACTTTCTCATGGAAACACATTTTTATAGATGCATATCTAATATAACTGAATGTGAGCAGTGCTTTTGTGCTTGGAGAAAACTGGCGGTCAGGGCATTGCTATGCAGCCGCTAGAAGTTCTGAGGGGTTTCAGCATGTTGCTAAGGTGTTGCTAGGGTGTTGTCAGGGGTTGCTATGGCATTGTTCAGAAAAAAAAACTGAACAAAATTTGGATGAACTACCACTACTATTTTTCTCGATCTAACATCTACCATGTTCGAGAGAAAAGAAAGGAGAGCAGTCTGGAGAAAAAGTGATGACGACAGCTTGTAAGATATGTGTATCGTATATAGTGTAAGTACCAAGCATACTGTCCAAAAAGACTGACGATGCCCCTTCGCTCTCTTCCATTGGTCAGAATTGAAGCCGCCAATGTCTCGATATAGCCCTCACTCTTGCAGAATCAATCGCAAACACACGCTCCTGCACGTTTTACAATTTATTATAGAAGTTTAGGTATTAAATGTAAAGCTCCGATCTCCTGAGTCCTCAGAAGATCCCGAAAAAGTATGTTGGTGCTTTAGTGACTTCTTCACTCAGAGAACCTGTCAATCACAGCTGTCAATCATGACGTCACACCTCTGCATCAAATAACTAAAAACAAACTTTTAAAAACAAACACTTGTACTTACATCAACGGGGTAAAAACTACTGTAAAATACAGAAACTATCTTTGGAGAAATTATATTTGAAGTGTAATTTAATTGTTTAGTTGGACGTGCTGTTGAATAACACAGGGAGGCGGGGTTTATGACCTATACTGGGACCGGTCACTGGGGGGCGATCGAGATGCTTCAATTTTCAGGGCTTGTGCGGCACGCTCCAGGTGCTCCCTTCAGAACCAGACCAAAAAAAGTTACGTGCACCCCTGTCAATAATAGTGTTTATATACACTCACCTAAAGGATTATTGGGAACACCTGTTCAATTTCTCATTAATGCAGTTATCTAATCAACCAATCACATGGCAGTTGCTTCAATGCATTTAGGGGTGTGGTCCTGGTCAAGACAATCTCCTGAACTCCAAACTGAATGTCAGAATGGGAAAGAAAGGTGATTTAAGCAATTTTGAGCGTGGCATGGTTGTTGGTGTCTGAGTATTTCACAATCTGCTCAGTTACTGGGATTTTCACGCACAACCATTTCTAGGGTTTACAAAGAATGAACATCCAGTATGCGGCAGTCCTGTGGGCGAAAATGCCTTGTTGATGCGAGAGGTCAAAGGAGAATGGGCCGACTGATTCAAGCTGATAGAAGAGCAACTTTGACTGAAATAACCACTCGTTACAACCGAGGTATGCAGCAAAGCATTTGTGAAGAAGACACAACACACACAACCTTGAGGCGGATGGGCTACAACAGCAGAAGATCCCACCGGGTACCACTCGTCTCCACTACAAATAGGAAAAAGAGGCGACAATTTGCAAGAGCTCACCAAAATTGGACAGTTGAAGACTGGAAAAATGTTGCCTGGTCTGATGAGTCTCGATTTCTGTTGAGACATTCAGATGGTAGAGTCAGAATTTGGCGTAAACAGAATGAGAACATGGATCCATCATGCCTTGTTCCCACTGTGCAGGCTGGTGGTGGTGGTGTAATGGTGTGGGCGATGTTTTCTTGGCACACTTTAGGCTTCTTAGTGCCAATTGGGCATCGTTTAAATGCCACGGCCTACCTGAGCATTGTCTCTGACCATGTCCATCCCTTTATGGCCACCATGTCCCCATCCTCTGATGGCTTCTTCCAGCAGGATAACACACCAGTCACAAAGCTGGAATCATTTCAAATTGGTTTCTTGAACATGTCAATGAGTTGACTGTACTAAAATGGCCCCCACAGCCACCAGATCTCAACCCAATAGAGCATCTTTGGGATGTGGTGGAACGGGAGCTTCGTGCCCTGGATGTGCTATCCTATCAATATCGGTCAACATTTCTAAAGAATGCTTTCAGCACCTTCAATGTAGTATTAAGGCAGTTCTGAAGGTTTAAGGGGGTCAAACACAGGATTAGTATAATAATTAAAAAAACACTACAATATATACATACTTAAACTTGAGTATGAGCAACAATAATAGTGATGGTTGCCTTAGCAAATTCAACTAATTAAAGCAAAGAAAGGGGGGTAATGTTATGAAGTGATACTGATTTATGAATTGTATTTGCACAAACATACTAAGCATACTAAGGCATGACAGATTTTCCTTAAGCCACCCGTACCTCCGCCAAGGAAATAAACAAATCCATGGAGGTTTACCTCCAGTGAGTGAAAGTCTTAGAACTATGGTGGAGTTCCTAGAACCGAATTAATCCGACTTCTCTGATGATAATAGAAAAGTAATCGAGTCTTTGCCCTCATTCTCTCTGGACGTGTGTGCTCAGCTGGAGGGATTTCTAAGAGCCACACACAAGCCCTACTGGCAACAGAATATACTGGAGATTGTAGCTCTGACATGCTCATGTTACACAAAACTGTGAGCTGTATGCACATTTCCATCTGATAATCGTTCACACACATAATCACTAACAACGTCTGTTCATTTATTCAGGATATGGACAGACGGGCCTAGAGTCACACAAGTCTGGTGATTTGCTGATTAACTTTACCATCATAGAGTGAAAGTTTATCATTTAGATTTTGTCTTGCCAATTTACACATTCAACTATTTTATATGCGAAAGAGGCACAAATGGTGCGCTCAAACACCAAATTGATTCCTCTTTCGTGTTTACTTGCGCTTGAAAAGACACATACACTCAAAATTATGTCAAAATACCCGTCTCTGCAAGTATTCTCTCGGTTTTGTCATAATTGAATAGTTCAGAGAGAAAACGGATGTGTGTCAGAATATATTTAGCGTGCATTCGGTCTTAAAGTGACAGCAGCCTAATATTCCTGCTGTTGTGTCATTAATGTGAATAAAATATTAACATTAAACGTCTGTTCATTTATTCAGGATATGGACAGACGGGCCCAGAGTCACACAAGCCTGGATATGACTCCATTGCGTCCGCGGTGTCTGGTATGATGCACATCACTGGTCCTGAGGTGAGGCAAATGATCATTTCTAGCATCACCAAAGTGCCAAATATTGGTCAAACAAACAAATAGCATCCCAAACCCCAGTACTGATTTTGACATCGAAAAAAATGCCTCACACTTTGTCTTAAAGAGAGCATATTGCAGTGTTTCTCAAACTATTTCTGCCATTCCAGTTTAAAGGTAGGGAAGGGTTCGTGCCCCACCTGTCCCCATGCAATCGCCCCAACAAAATGTTAATAAACTAGGCTTTAAGTGAAAATGGATTTTATTAACATGACATTTGAAAAACATAAACATGATAGTAGATGAAAATAATAACGCAATTGTGTTATTTTGCCTCTGATAACATCAAATTCAGAAACAGAAAGTAAAAGTGTGGACTAGTTGTGCTTTGCTTTATTTTGTCACTTCACAAACTGCATGCAAAAAGAGCAAAGAATAATCATTTTAGGATTTTTTCATGGCTCAAAACAAGGCGGAGGTGGTAAAATTCTAATAATGCACGTATTTTAGGTACTTTTATAATGATAATTGTATTTTGTATTTTTCTGAGAATATCAGTATAAAGTTTGTACGTTTTAAAGATAAATTCATGTCTGCAATGAGCCTGTTTTGTAGTAGGCTACACATATTTTCTGAGCCAGATACAGAGAGAGCACTCCCATCACAACTATTCAGTGTTTTCAACCACTTAATGTTTATTTTAGGTTTCAGACATTTAAATTCAATTTAAGTTACTAAAAAAGCAACACATTTAGAGTTTGTCAAATACACACTTATGTCTATGGAAGCGGAAATAATAATTATTACGTTAATATCTAGCATGCTAAATATCTGGAGCTGTCGCGATGAGCAACAGCCAATGATCAGCTTGTTATCACATTACACAAGCCTTTTGTATTTGTAACCATCGCTGCCAAAGCACAAAACGAGCAGGCAGCTGCTTTTTCATAAATGTGTTTTACGCTCATTGTAAAAACTTTTTTTCTTTTTTCTTTTTTTTTTTTTTGCACCGCAAATTTTGTCCCCAATTTTGTCTTGAAATTGTTGATATCAAGAATTGAGTTTTTACTAGTAGAAATATCATTTTTGATATCAGTAATTACATTGTTACTAGTAAAAATGCAAATTCCTGATATCTATAATTAAACTGTCACTAGTTGAAATGTCTATTCTTGATATCAACAATTCAATTGCTACTAGTAAAAATTTTCATTTTTAATATCTGACAATGTACCTCTGATATCAATATTAGTTCAGATATCTAAAATAGCTTTCTTACTAGTAACAATCACATTCATGATATCAGAAATTAAAGGTATAGCGGAGGATTTTCTTTTTCCGGGTGGGTAGTCTATACTATTGGTCGATCTAAGTGTCAATCATTCTGGTGATATGTTTACGTAAGGCCGTCGTACGTGCTCGTTTTCACTTTCAGGTGTATTATGTCGGAGTTGCGGTTTCAGCCATTCCTTTGAAAATGGCTGAGGGTCGAAAGAGAAAAAAAATGTATACGAAGTGTATGATAAGAAGAGAAAGGCCGCAGAATATAGAAACAAAACCAGAGTGATTTTGGGTTAATATCACATGCTGGCGTGCGCTAAAAGCACAGGTTGGGCTTCTCACTGACGCCGCAGTCGCGAAGATTCTACCAGACAGGTAAAGTTTGTCGTGCTATTTGGAGAAATCCATTTAAAATCACTAGTAAAAGTTAATGCAAGCTACTTAGCAATGCTAGCCCTGGCACAAGTCATGCACCGCATAGACACGGTAAACATCTCAATTTGTCTAAAGTAGCCTTTTGACCAAATGGTAAATGGTATCACGCTGAAATATTCTAAAACCTTGCGTGTTCATGTGTTCATATTCTAAAACCTTGTGTGTTTATTATTACACAAATGCAACAAGCTACTTCTCCATACGCAACTATGTATAAAAATAACTTATTAATACCTACGTATTAACAATGAGACATATTAGGTTAAGGACCAACGTAATAGCACTGCTTATATGTTGCTATGTAACGTAATTGCGATTTGCAAAATAGTTTCCTCAGAATGATCGTATTTCGTGTGATACAGGGTTGCACATATCATGTCTTGAGTCCTCGGTCACTCATTCGATCAGTATAATAAGTAAATAAAACACGGAAGGGCATTTGACATGTTGTCTTTTTTATGAATATTTTTGAGTTAGTTTACAATTTGCAACATAATTGTGCAAGGCGTAATATTAGGTGTTCCCTCTCGGGAGTGTTGTGTTTGTGCGTGCATTTTTTTTTTTTTTTTTTTTTAAATTGGAGAGGGCGGGTCTTCTCTAAAATTCGGAAAGATCCTCCGCTATACCTTTAACATTGTCACTAGTAAAAATGTAATTTTTGATATCAAAAACACTAAAAATGAATATGCTTTATCTAATCAATAAAATTGTGGCAACAGAAATATTATTTATTAAATTGAACAAATTAGAATTGAGTAATAGTTCATTAAATTAACATTCTAATTAATTCTAATTTGTACAGTTTAATTAATAATATTGCTTGTAATATGTTGCCACAATTTTATTGATTAGATAAAGCATATTATTTTTTCAGTGAATGAACATTGTTAATTGAATTGTTGATATCAGAAATAGACATTTCAACTAGTAACAATTTAATTAATGATATTAGGAATTTGCATTTTTACTAGTAACAATGTAAGTGTCACAGTCTTCGTCTGCACCATCCTGTCTGCGTCTCCTGCACTACACTTCCCAGGATCCTCTCGTCACCCTATCCCGTGTTCACTCCCTCATCAGCCACCTGTTCCTCGTCATCGTCATCTGTTTCACCTGTCTTCACCTCATTATGTTTGATTCTTCTGTGTATTTAGTTCCCTCAGTTTCCTTCAGTCTTTGTCGATCGATGTTAATGTTACGCTGTGTTCTGCCTGCCTGTCTTCTGTTTATTTATTATTAAACCCTTATATTGGAGCTTTTTGGACTCTGCTTGTCTGTCTGCCTGCACCTAACCCGTGACAGATCGATCGACCCCCAAATTGGGACTAAAACATGGATTCCTTCGTGGCGGTTCAGCTTCTCTGCCTAGAGCAGGGGAACCGCTCACTCGAGGACCACTTGGCGGATTTCCTCTCCCTCGTCCCAGCCACATCTTTCCCGGACGACAGCCTCTGCAGCTTCCTATATGCTGGCCTCAACACCGCCACCAGAGAGCTGTTGTCCGGGGAGGGTCCTCTGTGGAACTTCGCTGCCTATGTGGAGTGGGTGCTGGTGTCATGTGGATCTTCTTTCACCGTTGACGACGGCACCAGCCCCACTCCAACGCCTGAGATCTCCTCCTCGCTGGTTCCGTCCAGCCCCGTCCAGCCTGCCCCAGAGACCGTCCAGCCTGCCCCAGAGACCGTCCAGCCTGCCCCAGAGACCGTCCAGCCAGCGCCTGAGACCGTCCAGCCAGCGCCAGAGACCGTCCAGCCCGCACCAGAGACCGTCCAGCCCGCACCAGAGCCCGAGACCGTCCAGCCAGAGCCGAGACCGTCCAGCCAGAGCCAGAGCCCGAGACCGTCCAGCCAGAGCCAGAGCCCGAGACCGTCCAGCCGGAGCCAGAGCCCGAGACCGTCCAGCCAGAGCCAGAGCCCGAGACCGTCCAGCCAGAGCCAGAGCCCGAGACCGTCCAGCCGGAGCCAGAGCCCGAGACCGTCCAGCCGGAGCCAGAGCCCGAGACCGTCCAGCCGGAGCCAGAGCCCGAGACCGTCCAGCCAGAGCCAGAGCCCGAGACCGTCCAGCCAGAGCCAGAGCCCGAGACCGTCCAGCCGGAGCCAGAGCCCGAGACCGTCCAGCCGGAGCCAGAGCCCGAGACCGTCCAGCCGGAGCCTGCGCCAGAGACCGTCCAGCCTGCGCCAGAGACCGTCCAGCCTGCGCCAGAGACCAGGATCCCACCCAGCCTCCCTCGCCCGCCTCCTCTCATCTGCCCTTGTTCTGCTCTCCTGCCCTTCAGCTCCCTTAAACCAGCCTGGTCCTTGGATCCCCGGTCTTCGCCTCACACCTCCTCCTCAGAGACACTTCCTCGGCCCTCTGTCCCATCAGCTCCCCCGTGGCTCCTACCTCCCTCAGCTCCTCCATGGCCCCTCAGTCCACCAGCTCGACCAGGCTCCCTCGACCCTCCGGACTCCCTTCGTTCCCTCGTCATCCTCCCTTCACCTTTGGACTTCCTTCCCTTGGCTCCGCCCCGTCATGTCACCCCCCCGGTTCTGTCGGACTCCTCACTCCCTCCAGTCACCCGTCAGCCCTCACTCCCTCTGGCCTCACCGTGTCCCTCTGTGCCCCTGTCGTCACTTCTGTCACCTGAGCCTACGGTGTCACCATGGTCCCTCGGTCCCTCTTCAGCACCCAAAGTCGTCTGTCCCTCTGCTTCACCCTGGTATCCTCTCCCATCTGCTCCGCCCCTGTCTGTCGGCCCCCTGGTGTTGTCAGCCCCGCTTCCATCGGCTCCACCAGGGGTCCTCCCTCCATCTGCTCCGCCCTGGTCTCGCCCCTCATCTGCTCCGCCCTGGTCTCGCCCTCCATCTGCTCCGCCTTGGTCTCGCCCTCAGCCTGCTCCGCCCTGGTCTCGCCCTCCATCTGCTCCGCCTTGGTCTCGCCCTCAGCCTGCTCCGCCCTGGTCTCGCCCTCCATCTGCTCCGCCCTGGTCTCGCCCTCAGCCTGCTCCGCCCTGGCCACGTCCTCAGCCTGCTCCGCCCTGGCCACACCCCTCTCAGCCCCCAGTTCGTCCCCCCTCCTTCCTCTGTTCTGCGGCGTGAGGTCACGCCTCCCGGGAGGGGGGAGTTCTGTCACAGTCTTCGTCTGCACCATCCTGTCTGCGTCTCCTGCACTACACTTCCCAGGATCCTCTCGTCACCCTATCCCGTGTTCACTCCCTCATCAGCCACCTGTTCCTCGTCATCGTCATCTGTTTCACCTGTCTTCACCTCATTATGTTTGATTCTTCTGTGTATTTAGTTCCCTCAGTTTCCTTCAGTCTTTGTCGATCGATGTTAATGTTACGCTGTGTTCTGCCTGCCTGTCTTCTGTTTATTTATTATTAAACCCTTATATTGGAGCTTTTTGGACTCTGCTTGTCTGTCTGCCTGCACCTAACCCGTGACAGTAAGTATTGATATCAAAAATTATATTTCTACTTGTAAAAACACTGATTCTTGATATCAACAATTGATTTTGAATGGCAGCCAATGGTGACATTTCACTAGTGAAAATACAATTGAATTGTTGATATGAAAAAAAAAAAAGTTATAAAAGTTAAAATGGCTTGCCATAACCGGCCACGTACTTTCATGTATTTTGGGAGAAACTGATCGCGATGCAGTCTCAACATAGTGATGTCTATCAGCCATCGTGATAGCTGAATGCATCGTCCATCGGCCAAATCTTATTATCTATCAAAAAGATGGAATTAGAAATAAAGGCCTGCCTCTAACAAAAGCCTGTTACCTTCTGCAGTTCAGGTAAATAAAGGCCTCAGTCTTTATCTGAGGAATAACCAGCACAGCGATCTGACAACGTTTAAAATTGTGTAGTGTGAACGAGGCATTAGTGTGAAAGATCCTTAATTCTCACCCCGTGGGGGCGTGTTTGTTCCCGGAAGAAAACTCCAGACTACGATGGAAACAGTGACACTGAATAACTCCCAATGCAAGGACTTTTGTTTTGAGTTTTTTCATGCTCAACAACAACATTACACACTAAAAAAAGTTGAAAATGTGAAAAAAAAAAGAAAAATATGTACTCTTTAAATATTACACAATGTTTTAGCTCATATATGTCCTGTTTATTTAACTGCTTCTTCTTTAAGGATGGGGATCCAGTCAGACCAGGAGTCGCTATGACGGATTTGGCCACTGGTTTATACGCTCATGGAGCCGTCATGGCTGCTTTGCTCCAGAGACAGAAAACAGGACGAGGCCTTCATATAGACTGCAATCTTCTGTCTTCACAGGTAATACAACGCTGAAGTCACATATAAGGAAATATTTATTAATAATGTCATTATTCATTTCAGCATTTTTAATAATACATTTAAAATAACTTGTTTGCAAATAATTAACTTATTTTCAAAAGCTATGTTTGATTATGAAATGGTTTCTGCAGTCAAATATTCTTGTATAATGACACTAAACTGTAGAATTGGTTCTAGTTTCAGGCAACTGATTGCTCTGCGGTCGGTCATTCTCGCATAATAAAATAAACTCAAATCTATATTTCACCTTCATTAATGACATTATTTTGTAAGTACACTATCAGGGGTCAGTCAGATTTTTTTATTTTTTATTTTTACAAGTAAAGAGGCTTTCAATTGATCAAAAGTGACAGTAAATACTTTTACATTGTTACAAAAGATTTCAATTAATCAATTAATCGATTAATCGTTAGTATTAATTACAGGATCTGCAAATGCTGCTCAAAAGCTGTTCCTCACCAAATTAATAAGAATGGTTTTTAATCTAAATAAAGGGTTAGTAGGATTGTAAAATGTTTTGATGTGGTTGATATTTATTGTTTAATATATGAATATAACGACAAATACAATGTGTCACCAACAGATGCGTGCTTGTCAGAATGTGTGACTGTTGTGGACGCACTGAAAACGGCAACTAAACACAATGAATTCACAACCCTTTAATAAAATAGTGTTCTCATGTCTCATGAAACGCATCCTATTTGATATTAATCAGGTATATACAAAATAAACATAATATTACAAAATTATATCTGCTCAAAATGACGTGAATGCAAGTGACACAAGTGCACCTAAAGTTACGTGCCATTCAGAATGACTCGTGTTGTGGTGGACGCGCTCTTTCTGGAACAACGCGACATGGCATCTAAACCCAAATAATTCACAATATTTTATTACAATATTGTTCTCTTTATAATCTTGTGTAATATGACCCAATAGTCATTATTAGTCGTGCATTGTGGTTTGTGCTGAGCGCGCTAAAAATCACGTCAATTCTTAACCAAATGCATCCATGAAATAACTCTGATATAGATAGGCGTACACAAAATTAACTATTACAACTTATATTTGCACAAAACAAAATGCTGCGAATACACACGCAAACATATAGTCATCCTTCAAATTTTAAGCAGTGAAGTAACAATATTTCTGAAATGAATAAAGTGTTTCTTAATTGTTGTCTAATTTTGATCTGTATTTTTTAATCAAATACGTGTAGCCTCGAGTGAGCACAAAAGACTTTATGTGTGTGTGTGTGTATATAAGAGTTCAGATGCAAAAGCCTCTAAATGCCATTTGAAATTTTCTTCTTTAATAATGATTTTTATCAAACTTGTATATTTAAGTTCAGTAATTTCACTTAAATAACAATTAATAGGTAATTATCATTGCCATTTAAGTGAAATCACTGAACTTAAATATACAAGCTTGATAAAAATGATCATTCTAGAAGAAAATTTCAAATGGCACTTAGAGGCTTTTGCATCTGAACTCTTCATATATATATATATATATATATATATACACACGTATATGTTAACTAACCAGGGATAATCTAATAATGTATAGTAATGTCAGTCAGGATTGGATTTCTTGTTATTTATTCTTTTGGCACTTGCACAAAAGCTTCCATAAGTTCAATAAAACTTAATAAAATATTTTCCTGAATGAGAAATGTATATAGAAGCAGACATGTCACATAGAAGAAGAACAGATCGAAAGCCTCTTTAACATGATTCAGTGATTTTCTGACACCTGAGAGTTGCAGGTATAGAAGATCAATTCACCTTCATGCTGACCGTTCAATAACACGGACTACATTTGATGTATATTTAATACTCCATACAGTATCTACATGATGAAATATTCAGCTCTTTAGGAGTATCCTTTATTCAGATTTCAGGACTGTTGTTATTGTCTCTCGCCCAATGCATGAAATGAACTTTTTAAATTGAACCAGCCCACTCTTTTTTTGTTGTTTCTTTGGCCTGAATGAATGCCGTTCCCTGGAAGTGAGTTTAACCTGACCCGTTCAGCACTCTAGAGAAAACATGGACGTTTTACTTTACAGTATAAATAATTCAGCTCTCCATAACTGTATAAGCGTAGTCCCTACTAGACTGTTTAGTGTGCCGTAATGGCTTGATAGTTTTGGCTTTGTGGTTTTTCTCGTACAGATTTTTTAACGTTTGTACCGTATGCCTTACGATTTTTCACCTTGAATATTGTTTTAGTGTAAAATTCACAACTATTAAGTAGAGTTCAAGTGAAGTTTCCAATTCATGTGGTCACTTTAAACTATTTGTTATTTGTTTCTTTCTTTATATAAGGGGTGACTCAGCTCAATTTGTCCCTGTCGTAAGTAATGCTGGTTTGGTAGGCACGTTAAAAGCTAATTCATAAGTATTACATGTATTGTAAGTAGCAGTAGGCTTTCCTGTCATGCCACTGTGTACTTCCTGAACAAATGAGTTTTTCAGGCCGTTGAATGCCTGTCCTTGCGTGAGGAAATAGCACACCGTTTACAAATGCGCCTGCCATTTTCCCTTTCCTCTTTGAATGAGCGACTTTGTACCACGGCTCGTCTGCCCGTCCTGCTAAGAAATGCAAGATTACAAGGGATCTAAATAGCAGCTCTCGCACAGAAGACGTCAGCGCCGGTTGAGACGCCAAGAGTTAAGCATCATGGGAATTAATGGAGTGTGAGACGCTAAGTTTACTTGTTCGTGAGTGTGTGTGTGTGGCTGTCTGCTGACATTGATGTTCAACAGACTTCACCGCTCGCTACGGCCAGGATAAATCTGAGGGAAGACGTTGGTTCACTTGGTGAATGTTTTATATTCCCGTCTTGTTTCCTAATTACCAGGCTGTACATGTGTTTACTGAAAACTTAAAGGCTGGGACGGAGACGTACAGTATAGCAATTTTCCTTCAAATGACTTTTGCATCTGCAGTATCACTTAACAAGATTTTGTTGAGTTTTTCTCCATAGTAACTACCTGAAACCTCAAATACCCTCTTCAGCTGCGTGTGGTTTCTGCAGAAATTCTAGAACGACTAAAGTCTTGATAGATAAATATTTGCACGTAACAAACATGTTTTTCATTTTATGCAGAATGACAAAAGTGTTTCCACCAATCAGCTTGACACAAAATAAAACTTGTCATATTTTAACTGTTAAGGGTTACTGAAGCAAACATACACTCAAAATCCCTGTTTATTTGAACTGAACCGCTTCGAGATTTGTAGTGTGACATACCGTAACTCGACATTTGAAACCATGTCGGATGACTGAGAATGTGGAGGGATTGAGGAGCTATTATTGTGCCTGTGTTATTTATAAATTGGACAATTACAGTTAAGAATTGTAAGGCAAATGACAAAAAAAGTTGTAATGCTTTCTTTTGTGCTGGAATGGTTAAGGTTCTCTAATTTTGATCGCTGTGTTTTCTACAAAATAAAGGTTTTTGTTGTAGTACCTTGGTTATTTTGTAAAAAAAAAAAAAAGCTAGTAGAACAAGGGCAGGGTTCTCAAGTTTCAAGCATTGGCTGTGAGACACACGCAATTCATCCAGTTCACACGCTCACACGCCACACCGTGTATTTCTCACGCTGAAAAGGCAACGACAACCAAGTTGTCCTGCAAGCTTTATATATAACGTTGTATACGAGGCGCAGGCACACAAAGTGATGTTTCCTGCTGCCAGCACGTATCTCTCGGCCAGATCACATTCGTTAGGCAACATAGATGCGCAAACTCACGGAAGTTGACGGAACATTCTCTCCCACCATACGTTCGTTACTAGGTAACCAACAATATCGCGCGAACACACAGAAGTTGACGGAACATTCTCGCCCACCGTACGTTCGTTACTAGGTAACCAACAATATCGCGCGAACACGGAAGTTGACGGAAAATTCTCGCCCACCGTACGTTCGTTACTAGGTAACCAACAATATCGCGCGAACACACGGAAGTTGACGGAACATTCTCGCCCACCGTACGTTCGTTACTAGGAAACCATCACTATCGCACGAACACACGGAAGTTGACGGAACATTCTTGCCCACCGTACGTTCGTTACTAGGTAACCAACATTGCGCGAACACACGGAAGTTGACGGAACATTCTCGCCCACCGTACGTTCGTTACTAGGAAACCATCACTATCGCACGAACACGCGGAAGTTGACGGAACATTCTTGCCCACCGTATGTTCGTTACTAGGTAACCAACATTGCGCGAACACACGGAAGTTGATGGAACATTCTCGACCACCGTACGTTCGTTACTAGGAAAGCAACACTATCGCGTGAACACACGGAAGTTGACGGAACATTCTTGCCCACCGTACGTTCGTTACTAGGTAACCAACGACATTGCACGAACACATGGAAGTTGACGGAACATTCTCGCCCACCGTACGTTCGTTACTAGGTAACCAACAACATTGCGCGAACACATAGAAGCTGATGGAACATTCTCGCCCATCGTACATTTGTTACTAGGTAACCAATAACATCGCGCGAACACACGGAAGTTGACGGAACATTCTCGCCCACCGTACGTTCGTTACTAGGTAACCAACAACATTGCACGAACACATGGAAGTTGACGGAACATTCTCGTCCACCGTACGTTCGTTACTAGGTAATCAATAACATCGCGTGAACACAAGGAAGTTGACGGACCATTCTCGCCCACCGTACGTTCGTTACTAGGTAACCAACAACATTGCACGAACACATGGAAGTTGACGGAACATTCTCGTCCACCGTACGTTCGTTACTAGGTAATCAATAACATCGCGTGAACACACGGAAGTTGACGGACCATTCTCGCCCACCGTACGTTTGTTACTAGGAAACCAACAACATTGCGCGAACACATGGAAGTTGATGGAACATTCTCGCCTAACGTACGTTTGTTACTAGGTAACCAACACTATAGCGCGAACACATGGAAGTTGACGGAACATT